ACTCTTTCCGCTGCCATTAGCCTTTTGGGTAAGTCTTTCTTTGCTTTTGTCGATGGATCATATGTTCATAATTTTATTCGGCCTAAATATCAAAATTAACAATTAGCCGTGGAATATTAATTGAATTATCGTGTATATATATACACACACACATGAGTAAGAATCCGTGGTTTTTGAAATCTTTGGGATAAAGTCTTCTAGATCAATAGACTTAACAACAGATGCATAAATTGCGCATGCAATGGAGCTGATTGATTTCTGTCATGTAACCTAGGACCATATTCTTTTTTTCTTTTTTCTTTTAATTATGTCGCAATTAGATTAAAATAATTATTAATTAAAATAAAATAATTATTAATTAAGTCGCAATTAGAATAAAGTGTTGGTCGATTGAAATAATTCCAACCCCTGGTGCTCTGTAACGAGTGTTTTTCACTCGTTTCCAGAAAGCATGGGAGCTGAAGTTGTTGAATGTGCTTGTGTTATTGGCTTGCCTGAAGTCAAGGTGAAGAAATCTCTCTCTCTCTCTCTCTTGTTACTTGTGGAAGAAGTTATCTTTGTTTATGTAAAATTGTTAAAGCCCTTTTGTGGTCGTGGTATATAAAGAGGGTATGGGTATTTTAAGAAGAAGAACACTTCATTTTTGGATATATATATATATATATATATATATATGGGTTGTGGTTACATTTGAAACGTTGCAGGGACAGCACATGCTGAAAGGGAAGCCTCTCTACGTTCTGGTGGAACCAAGTGGACTGGATCTTGTACATGACTCGTGTTAGGACTTAGGACACTTTTTCTTGTTTTTGTTTCTAGGCCTCAAATCTCCTCTGTATCCGCTTCTCATTTCTTCAATTATATTATGAATTTTGTTTTGCATCTTTGTCCAAATTTATGTTTGGTACCATTTCAATATGTCCAATTTTTTTTTTTTTTTTTGTCATATGGAGTAAATCAGCAAATAATGGGCTTTGAATTGGGCCTATTTGAAAATATATGGAGGCCCATATATGTTTGTAACTGGGCCTAAAGCTTTAGGTGGGCTTTGTTTTTTTAATCAAAATTTTCCGACGAAAAGCGAGTCTTCTCGCAAGCTCTTCAGCGAGAGTGCTTAGTTAAAAATCATGGAGATGTTCTGGAAGAGGTTGATCCGTTTCGAAGAGGATAATTCTCGAATCTGATCGCTTGCTTCCCTGATTCTGGATTCTGTTCAGTGGACTTCTTCCATTTCTTTGTTTCTAATCCTTCCTGATTTTTCTGGAAATCTAACGGTGAAATTGCGGAAGGGCGAGCGAGAGAGAGAGATGGCTCCGATGGACGAGAAGGCCAAGAGAATGAGGGATCTGTTGTCCAACTTCTACGCTCCCGATCCTTCCATCTCGACCGGTGGCTCCTCAACGCACGCCTCTTTCGACAACATCAACAGCACCTCCTTCAATGCCGATCAGTACATGGATCTCCTGGTTAGTCATTTTTTTTGCTCTGCGGAAGATTCTTGATCCCGCGAATCCGAGTCCAGAGTTCGTTAATTGAATTGATTTGGTTGGTGATTAGTCCGGCGAGGTTTTCGACGAACTCCGATTTGATAAATGCTTGGATAAGTCGAGTTTCCATGAACATGAAGCTTAAAGTGCTAAAATCCTTCTAATTGGGTTTCAGAAAGTGGATTCGTATGTTTAGTCATAGATCTGTGTTCCTTCCTCCCTCGTTGGTTTTGTAGTTGTTTTCCGTATGCTAGATCAGGGAATTCTTCCAGATATGGTAAACTACCCACGTTCTTCCCTGCAATGTTTGACGGTTCGTCAACAGTTTGATAAAGTAGATGCTAGAGAAGAATTACTAGTAGTCTCCTTCCTGGTGGGGTTCTGGGGTTTCAGTGGAATGTCTGGCGGCAGCGTAGAAAGATCATGTAGAGAAACATGACAATTTATGGTGAGTTTATCGGGTTGCGCAGATAAAAAAATCGAATCTCGAAGCGCTTTTGCAAAGGCATGTTCAAATGGCTGCAGAGATTAAAAATCTCGACACAGACTTGCAGATGCTAGTGTATGAGAATTACAACAAATTTATTAGTGCAACAGATACGATCAAAAGGTACTTGTTCTGGTTCCCAGATCCCTTTTGGACACTGATTGTGCAATTTCCATTTAGCATTATCTGTTATTAGTATCTTTCAGGACTCTGCATATATCTAAGAAATCTCCCTCTTAACCTGCTAGGATGAAGAGTAATATTGTGGGGATGGAAGGCAATATGGGCCAGCTTCTTCAGAAGGTGTGTTAAAATAATTGAATAACATGTTTTTTTTGGTATATATTGCATGAGACAAACCCAGAGGATGATACCCGAGCTGATTCCCGCAGATAATGTCAGTACAATCAAGAAGTGATGGGGTCAACACTTCTCTTTTCGAAAAGAGAGAACATATCGAGAAACTGCACCGTACACGTAATCTTCTTCGTAAAGTTCAGGTATTGTACAAATTATCACCGTTAGCTCCTTTGCTTATATTGTTCCATTATATATAAGTTGCTTTGCTGCTTAGCATTGTCACCTTTTCATTTCGGTATCATGTATGCTGCTTCATATTGTGAATTTAAACAAATTTCTATTTTTCGAAAAGAGCAGTTCATCTACGACTTACCTGCAAGACTTCAAAAGTGCATCAAATCAGAAGGCTATGCTGATGCTGTCAGGTTTTATACTGGAGCACTGCCAATTTTCAAGGTTCTATATCGGTCTTCAGATGATTCTCCCATTTCATTTCCTATCATCCTTGTTTGTTTTATGTGCTGTTTAGACTCTTTCTTTCTGAATATACATGGAGATTATTTTTAGTAGCTTTTAACAATTTGGCTTTCTTTTTACAGTTATATGGTGATACATCATTCCAAGATTGCAAACGAGCTTCTGAAGAAGCTATAGAAATCATCATAAAAAGCTTACAGGTGTGGCTTCTCGTTTTAGTAGACTATGATTCTTTGACTTAAGTAGTGCTGCCTGCCGGATTAAACGTACACACATATTACTTTTCTTGTATTTGGTATTCCTTTTTGTTTTGGGTTGTGTGAAACTCAGTACAGGCATCCTTGTTTCGGTCAGGCAAGGCTGTTTTCGGATTCAGAATCCATACAATCTAGAGCTGAAGCTGCAGTGCTCCTCAAGCGGTTAGATGTCCCTGTTAGTATTTTCTCTCGGTTCAATTTTACATGACCTGTTATATATATTACAAACTTGAGTGAGAACTGAAGCAACTTAAAAAGTTCCCATATCAGGCTCCTTAAATATGAGATACATAATTTTTGTGCTATAACATGCGATGCTTCTTATATCCTGCAGGTAGATAATCTAAAGGCCAAACTGTTGGAAAAACTGGAACAGTCTCTTGATGACCTTCAATTAAAGCCTGAGGAGGCAAGTAAACTTATGGAGCACACTGATTCGTCTAAAAATGGGGAAAGCAGTGATCCACATCCTGCCAAAGTTCATGAGGTACAACATGAATGCCTCGGCTTTCTTGTCTCCCATGATTCTGAAATGATCAGAACACTTTAAACCAAATGAATTTGTTAGCCATTTGTCTGACAAAATTCCATCCTTTCAATGTTTTTTTCCTTGTCAAACATAAATCTGAAGGTTTCTTTTACTTGTTTACTTTGTTAATTTATCAGGCTTAACAAGTCTGCCGACTGGATTCTTAAGAGATTTAACATTTGCTTGTTCTTTTGAATAGGATGCTGTACGTGAGTTCTCTGAGGCTATGCGTGCTTACCGAGTCATATTTCCTGACTCAGAGGAAAAACTTTTTAAACTTGCAAGGGCCTTGACAGCAATGTAATGTACCTTGCTTTATATATAGTGACCCAGGAACTGATAGTCCTTGAAATGGGAGTGCTGATCTTCTAACACTCGTTGTCTTTAGGCAATTCGAGAACGTGGACCAATATATAAAGAAACGGGTTTCTGCCTCATGTTTTCTTGGAATTTCCAGTGAGTACTCTGGTTCTCCTTGTGCTTTTTTCTCTTATTGCTGTTTTTCCCCTCTGCCGCATTTCTCCGTTAAGGCTTGAACCTGTTCACCAAATCATTCTCGATTTCCTAATACCTTACCTATTTTCCATTGGACGTAGAACTCATATGGGCAGATGTGGTGCTTATGGATGAGGTGCTACCTGAGGCTGCTCTCTCTGATTTTGCTGCAGAGGTGACCTCTTAATTGTTCATTTGTTCTATATGACCGTACTTCTTGTCTTGATAATAGAACCATCTATGTTTACTCGTAATCTGTCATTTCAGGCTGCCCAATCTACTTTCAAGCAGTTTGTTGCGAGGACCTTTTCCCATCTTCAGCAAGATATATCCGGTTTGTTCTCTGTTACGATCTACAAGATGCAGAATTTCTTATTAGGGGTAAAGAGAGAACAGATACATACTGAAATAATTCTTACTGTGTCTGTGAAAGGTGCTTTTTTTTTGTTCTGATGCTGTCACATGGTCTTTTTGTGAAATTATCCGAAGCAACCTGAAAGTATCTAGCCATAAATTAATGTATTCACGAGATTTTGTCCTTGCCTGAATCTGATCCAAAATAAGGTGTCATCGTGGCAGATACTCTCCTGAAAGTCAATGTCGACCAAAAGGAAACAGTTGAAGAAGATTTTTTGCACTCTGTCTTGGAGACGAGCAAAAAGGCAGTACTTCAAGGCAGCATGAACATACTACAGGCAACACACATTTCCTCTTTTCTACATTTTGTTATCATTTCCTTCCTCTATATAACTTTACTTCTCAGTTATTCATCAGTGTTTATTGTTTCAGGATTTCCGTCAAATTCTTCAAGAAAATACAGGAATATTTGTCAAGATGAGGGATTTAATTGTTGATTGGGTTCAAGTGGGATCTCAAAACTTCTTCCGGTCACTTGAAGCTCACTTTCTAGTGCTTTCGGGAAAGACCAGCTCACCAAATGAGGCTGAAGGTTTGGCTGAGGGCAAACCAAGTGACAAAGTTCATGCAGGTCTCATCCTTGTGCTGGCTCAACTCTCTGTTTTTATCGAACAAATGGTTATACCGAGAATCACAGAGGTTAGGAATCATCTTCTATTTTGATATAGATCCAAAATAGTTTTCTAAAACTAACTGAAAATTTCGTGTGTTTTTCAGGATATAGCTGCTTCCTTCTCTGGTGGAGGAGGCGCCCAAGGCCTTGAGAATGAGCCTTGTTTTATTCCTGGGGAACTTTCCCGGGTCTTCCACTCAGCGAGTGAGAAGCTTCTCCAGCATGTATGAGCTTGTATTCTATGCTCGTTCTTGCATTGAAAACATGCCTTCCTTCCTTTCCTTAATGGCTTTTTGGGTGTCTCAAACTTAAAACTAATTGGCCGAATCACCTTTTTTTTAGTATATAAACACAAGAACACAGAGGATATCACTTCTTCTAAGGAAGAGGTTTAAGACACCGAACTGGGTCAAGGTATTTCATGCGTGATCTTTTCCCTTCCATTGGAGCATCTTTTTGTTTTTTACCAGTTCTTATTTTCTAAAAACTATGTTCTGCAGCACAAGGAACCGCGAGAAGTTCATATGTTTGTGGATTTGTTTCTTCAAGAGGTTTGTCAAGTGCTCTTTTGCTTTTCCTCCGCACGATAATTGGGAAGGATACATTCGAAATCTCTTCCCTGGCTGGCTGATCTAAAGAAGGGGAAATGAAAGGACAAACATATGCATAACTTGACATTGGGATTTCTCCATTTGCACAGCTGGGAGCAATTGGAAAACAAGTGAAGCAAATTTTACCACAAGGGACATTCCGTAAGCACCGGAGGTCAGACAGCAACGGAAGTAACACCACAACCTCATCGCGAAGCAATCCATTACAGAACGATAGGATGGCACGCTCAAATTCACAGAGGGCCCGTAGCCAGCTGTTTGAGACACATCTGGCTAAACTATTCAAGCAGAAAGTAGAGATCTTCACCAAGGTTGAGTTTACTCAGGTAAGAACAGTCTCCTTCCTCAACAAAACCAGCATGCAAATAGGCCCATATGATCACCGGTCCTGACGTATAAAAAAATGCAGGAATCGGTAGTGACAACGATAGTGAAACTGAGTCTAAAGAGTTTGCAAGAATACGTGCGGATGCAAACATTTAACAGGAGTGGGTTTCAGCAAATCCAGCTGGACATTCAGTTTCTAAGATCTCCTTTGAAGGAAACAGTCGAGGACGAAGCTGCCGTCGACTTTTTGCTGGACGAGGTTGATCCTCCTCTCTTTGAATCGAATATGTTGCAATTTAAAATTCTGTGTGATGTAAATGTCGGGGTGGTACAGGTGATCGTTGCAGCTTCAGAACGGTGCCTTGATGCTATTCCATTGGAGCCACCAATATTGGACAAACTCATTCAATCCAAGTTGGCCAAATCAAAGGAGCACTCTACTGTTTCCTCGTAGGTCTCCTCATGAGATAGAAGCAAAAAACGCCCATGTCTGCCCTCTTTCAACCGTTTCCTACTTGTTCTTGGTGTAATAAATTCCCATGTATTTAATAAGAAGAAAATTCATTTTTGGATATAAATAGATAAGGATATATATATATATATATATATATATATATATATATATATGCATTGTGGTTACATTTTAAACGTTGCAGGGAAGCCTCTCTACGTCCTGGTGGAACCAAGTGGACTCGATCTTGTAGTTAGGACACGACATGTTTTTGTTTTTAGGCCTCAAATCTTCTCTGTATTTGCTTCTCATTTCTTCGATTATATTATGGATTTTGTTTTGCATCTTTGTCAAAATTTATGTTTGGTACCATTTTTACGTGCTTTCTCTCTCATGTTTTATTTTTGTTTTTGGAATTCAATTACTCTATACATTGAATATGTCCAAAAAAAAATTGTATATGCAAATAATACATATGGAGTAAATCAGCACATAATGGGCTTTGAATTGGGCCTATTTGAAAATATCTGTAGGCCCATATATGTTTTGTAACTGGGCCGAAGCTTTACTTGGGCTTTATTTTTTAAAACAAAATCTTCCGCCGAAAACCGACTCTTCTCGCAAGCTCTGCAGCGAGAGTGCTCAGTTAAAACTCGTGGAGGTGTTCTGAAGAGGTTTGATCCGTTTCGAAGAGGATAATTCTCGAAATCTGATCGTTTGCTTCCCTGATTCTGGATTCTGGATACTGGTCAGTGGATTTCTTCCAGTTCTTTGTTTCTAATCCTTTCTGATTTTTCTGGAAATCTAACGGTGAAATTGCAGAAGACCGAGAGAGATAGATGGCGATACTGTACGCGCTGGTGGCGCGAGGGACGGTGGTTCTGGCGGAGTTCAGCGCGGCATCGACGAACGCAGGTGCGATAGGGAAGCAGATATTGGAGAAGTTGCCTGGTAACAACGATGATAGCCACGTGTCGTACTCTCAGGGTCGGTATGTCTTCCACGTCAAACGCACCGACGGCCTCACCGTCCTCTGTATGGCCGACGGTTCCTCCGAAAGTGCGCCGCTTCTTTCCCTTTTCTTTGCTTTCGATTGTTTGATTGTTGTTTTGGAACTTTTCTAGTGCTAATTTGCTCTTCTGTAAGGTTTTCTGGTAGGGTTTTGCTACAGTATTACTCCGTTCGGCTTAAGTCGGATGAAATCTGGGAAATTGGAGAAGTTGTGTTCTGCTTTCTCTCTCTCTCTTTTAAATTTTTTTTTTGTTAAACATCGAGCTAATTTTGGAATACTTCCTTCTCTTTGAAAGTTAGATCTTTCTCTGTTTGAACTGCCCCCAATACTTGTGTTAATTATTGCTCAGTGGAATTCTAGGTGTTTTAATGTTTAAGCGAATAATTTTTGTGACAATTGAATGTTATTTCTTTCACTAAGTTGCTACAGTATTTGATTTTGATATCTAAGAAAAACAGAGAAGTTGATGTGAATTTGTTCTTCTGTTTGCTATAGTTACTTGTGCGAAAATATAAACCTACATTTTTGTCTTGTTGCTAGCAAGCTCTGGGCACAAGTCTTGAGTGTTTCAATGGTGATATTATCATATAAGAGAGTCGGAAAATTCCATTTTTCGACAATAGATACTGGTGTTTACACTGCTGTTTAATAATTTGACACAGGGAGAATTCCGTTTGCGTTTCTGGAAAATATCCATCAGAGATTTGTGAGGACGTATGGCCGTGCAATTCGTTCAGCTCAAGCTTATTCCATGAACGATGAATTTTCAAGAGTTCTCGGCCAGCAAATGGAATACTACTCAAATGACCCAAATGCAGATAGAATAATCAGAATGAAAGGTGAAATGAGTCAGGTGAAGCTTTGAAAATTTTCTTTTAATTTCCTGCGACTTCTTTAATGGCAGTTAATCCCATAGGCTTGGTTCATATACACACTGAAATATTGGCTGTTTATCTACTATATTGCCGAATTGGTTGTGTTATTTTTGCAGGTTAGAAATGTGATGATAGAGAATATTGATAAAGTTTTAGATAGAGGTGAACACTTAGAGTTGCTCGTTGATAAAACCGTCAATATGCGAGGGAACACCTTCTCTTTCAGAAAGCAAGCTCGCCGTTTCAATAACAGAGTATGGTGGAGAAATATCCAGCTTTTGTAAGTCATCTGGACCGATAATAACCTTTCCCAAGAAACTGAGGCTTATCCAAATACAAATTCAGACTTTGGCAGCTCTCTGACTCGAATTGGATAGCATATCTTCTCTGTGAAATCTTGGCGTCGAGATTTGATATCATATTTCTCTTATTGAACTGATTTTCCTGATTTTTCATCGACCTGTTTTGTATTTATGCAGGATCGTTCTGATACTTACGCTCTCGGTTCTTGTATATGTCGTGGCGGCCTTCGTTTGCCGCGGGCCAGCACTTCCTTCCTGCTTCAAATAAGGTTACACTCTCTTCTGCTACTAGGATTTCTTTTCAAACACTCTGTTTGGATGGCTATGATGTGTGTTTGTCCTTTTGAAGTCTTAGAAGTGAATGTGTCTGATGTTATGGTTTTTATATTTAAGGTGAAACTTTGTTTAATGATCATATGTGAAATTTTTCACGTGAATGTTCTTCACAATTTGCCAAAATTATGTATTTTGTTTTTTTTTTCTCTCTGTCGAACCTATTGTTGGATGTAAATAATCGAACAATAATGATAGCTTGAGACGAAAATGGCGTGAATAAAGGAGTTTGCTGATTGAGTTGGGTGATGTTTTGCTTATAAAGTAATCATGTTCTTATGACAGTATTTTTGCAAACATAAAGAGTTCCAAAAGCATGGGAATTGGGAACATATGTGGAGGTCAAAGTCTGAGAAAGACCCGCAACAAAACAAGGAGAACCTTGTTTTCCACGTCCTTCTTGCACGTAGTTTTCTTAACTAATTAATTAATTAATTTTGAATTTATATTTTGTCTATAAACTAAACGGGATTATATAAAAAATACCTTTAATTTGTTATTTCTACTTCTGACCATGTGACCAATATGACCGAAATATAGAGAACAAACACATGAAATTAATAATAATCTTTATTACATGCATATGAGTTGGTTTAAATAAATAAAACTAATTTTAGTAGTATTAGGTGCAACATTAGTAATAATAATAACAATGACTATATATATATATATACTCGTGTGTGTAACGAGAAGGTTAATGTATTTTTTTTTTTATAACGGTGAGAACCCGTCATATGGTCCTTCGGGCCAGACTCCGACCGCCCCAGCCCTCAGGCCGGACAGTCGGTATGCCGACAGTAAACCCCGATCCTGCGCAATAGCCGACAAACCACGAAGAGCAGGTAAACCAGTCAAAGTTGACCGGCTCAAGGGGAAGCTCAGCCTCAACTGGTTAAGGTTAATGTATTTGGTAGGTGAATAGTGAAAACAAACAAGGGCTTCTACTTGAAGTGGTGCAAATTCTGACAGACATGAACCTCATCATCAACAAAAGTTACATCTCTTCCGATGGTGATTGGTTCATGGATGGTCCGTACTTACCCAAACCCATTCTTTCATTTAACTTCAAAACTATATACACACACACCCCATTGAACATTCATCATATGATATTTGCGCAGTTTTCCACGTGAAAGACGAACATGGCAATAAAGTCACTGACCAAAGGGTCATCAAGCAAGGTTAGCCCAATCAAACACTATTTACATTCGATTCGAATTTACTCATCACAAGAAGGAACGATTGAAATTTAAAAATAAAAAAAACTTAGGCCATTGGTACAGGTAGGAGAAAATCATCAAGCCCTACTATCGTAGAGGCCAAGAATACGAACAATGCGAACATTTCATTGGAATCGCCATCGATCACAACGAACACACACGGCCATAGAGTTAACCCAAGTGGTTTCTTGCGGGGCAAGGCACCACATGCATGAACACTACGTGGAGAGAAGGCTGCATCAGCTGATGCTCTCTGTACTTTTCTTCGGACACCGACATCAGAATCTCCTTCAACCTCGGAATCTCCGACACGTCAACTTGTACGGAGAACGTCTCCCACCTCAGCACATCGCTGAGAGGCAACACAAAGTTCTTGGAAAGGATCACCGGCACGCATTCTGCGTAGATGGACTCGATGACACGTGGGCTAGCCACTTCGTATCCGCTCGGGCAGAGGCAGAACTTTGATTGTAGCATGAAGTCGTAAAAGTTTAGGTTTTTCGGGAGGTACTCGTGGACGGGCATGTCGGGGTCACGGTGTTTCCAGTGTTCTAGGAGGATTGGTCTGATGGGTCCATGGTAGGGGTGGCCATTTCGGGTTTCGGTTCGGTTTTCGATTCGGTTATTTCGGGTTCGGTTATTTCGGTTATAAAAAAATCATACCCAAACGGTTATATAGATTTAATCGGTTCGGTTCGGTTCAGTTCGGTTTCGGTTCGGTTCGGTTCGATTTTTGCATAATAAAATTATAACCAAACGGTTATATTTTCCGGTTTATTCGGTTCGGTTTTAGATCGGTTCGGTTCGGTTATGATATATTTTTTTAAAAAATTTATTAATCCTACATAAATTTCAAAATATCTATTTAAATAAATGTACAAAATGATTAATCATGTAAAAATAAAATTATAAAAAAATCTAAAAACTTCAATAATTAGGATAAAAGTTAAAAACATTACATTTTATAGTTTATTGGGTGAAATATATAAGGTTAAAAGTGAAGTATAAAAAAATAATACTAATAATAATGAGGATAAAAATTAAAATATTTAAAAAACTCAATAACCGTTCGGTTAACCGCGGTTATTCGGTTATTAACCGAACCGAACCGAATCCGAACGGTTATTCAACTTCCTCAACCGTTCGGTTATTAAGCAAATAACCGAAATGAACCAAACCGCTCCGAACGGTTATTCAACTTCCTCAACCGTTCGGTTATTAAGCAAATAACCGAAATGGCCACCGCTAGTCCATGGAGTCCGCCTGCTAAACTTAAGAAGTAATAAATTAATTCCCGGTTTCAGAAACGGAATCTGAATCGAATTCTGAAACCAAACCGGGATTCCAAACTCGCTGAATTCTCTACCTGAATCAGAAGACGAAATATGAAACGGAAAATCAAAACTGTCCTCTAGTCGGAGGGAGTTGAAGATGATGAGATATACTCAGTTCAAATACGAAACGAAATTTCAAATTTCAAACGCTTTACACAAGTGATATGATATGACCGAAACTAACCAAACCATAATTCACTAAGAAAAAACAAAACCCGACTCCGACAAGATTAAACTCAACAGCTCGATCGGGGTTTCTGGTTGCTTGGTTTCTTGATTTCCGGAAAATTGGTCAATCGGCGTCTCCGACAGAGCTGCGGTCATTTGTTTTCGCGATTCAAGAAACCGATGTCGTCCCCGCAAATTCTGAGAGTTTTCGTGCAAGCGATCAAGAAGCGAAGACAATTCCTGGGCAGTGAATCGATCAAGATCAAGACCCACCTTTCTCCTCTTCTTGTCGTCTTCTTGGATCTTGGTCTTACCCAGAAACTGGTCAAGAGTGAGGTTTTTCTTTCCTCTATCGGCACCGCTCAGTCTCTTGTACTTCTCTGCCACTTCCTTCACCTTCGACATCTCTCTCGGCCATGTCTGAATCTCTTCGTTCGGTCCGTAACAGATGACGGCGATTTCGACGCCGCAGAGAGTGGAGAGCTCTTGTGCTTTCTTCATGACAGTCAGTTGTCTCCTCTCGAACGCGTTTTTTCTCTTCGCCTTTGCTTCCGATGAAGAAGAAGACGAAATCGAAGAAGACATTTTTCTCGCTCTCTCTTTCTTGTTCTTTCAAAAGACAAGAGTGATTGGCGAAGTAGTAACCTTGCCGCATATATATATATATATATATATATATAATGATTCAGTAATTTAAAAAAGGCAACTTACGGCTTCAATAATTAAAAAACAGGAAAAAAGGATTACGGGGAAAAAAAAGAAACAGAGGATTAAAGAGAAAAAAGGAAAGAGGGAGTTTCATATTCAGAAAAAAAAAAAAAACTGGATGCGTTGGATCAATTACTTGGGAGATGGGAGTGCATGTATGCAAGGATATGCATATGTACAATACGGATGTAGATATACAGATATACGTGTATATATGGATGGTCTCTTAAATGTCATGGGCCCTAAATGGGCTTAGTAAAGATATTTTGGACATCATGATTTGGAGGGCCCCTTACTATGTCTAATGGGTGTTTGAATTGATAACTGAATTACCAACTTTCAAATTGGGCATTTTATAAACTGATCAAACTAAAATTTTCCTAAAAAAATTATCATGTTGTAATAATTAAGGGTGAACGATTTAGTTAATAAATTGAACAATCTAATGGTTTCCAATCGAATTCGATATAAAAAAACCGAATAATTGTAATGTCTCTAAAATAAAATAAAAAATTAAATTCAAACTAAACCAAATCCAATAAAAAAACTGAAAATTATATTTGAAAATTGAGTTTTTTTAACAATAAAAATCGATTTCAAACCGAACTTGAAAAATAGAATCAAACCGAATGATAATAGTTTTTTCTAAAAATAAAATAACTGAATTTGAATATAATCGAAAATAATCCTAAACATTTTAGGATTCAGACTTAAACCGATTATACAGTCAAAATCCTAATGTTAAACACCATTAATATGTACAGATGAAATAAATATACAGAATTAGTCCCTGTATTATATAATAGAGAAATGTATCACCATATGCGTAATCCTGCTTGCCGAAACAGTTTGTTTTACAATTACTTTGGCTTCAATAATTAAAAAACAGGAAAAAAGAGGATTACAGCAAAAAATGATGACAGAGGATTACAGGTAAAAAAAAGAAACAGAGGATTAAAGAGAAAAAAGGAAAGAGTAATTCATTCTGTCTAAGAAAAATTGGTGAAATTACATCATTGAAAGGGAAAAGAAAAACCCTTGAACCCTACAGTTAGTTGTAGAAATTTTGGAATTTATTTAAGTTAATTTCACGTTCTGAATTTTCGATATTTAAAAAACTGGCTATCTAATTTTTATATTAACTTTCATTCTGTTCGGATTTTTTTATTTAGGGTCCAAATAAAATTTAAATGGCCAAGTTTATGAATATAAGATACTACGGCATGCATTCTAGATTGCACCAAATTTTTATGTGAGAATAAATATTATATTTTGTTTAAATCGTGGAATTATTTAAATTGGATCAAATCTTATAATATATCTAATTTTTCTTTTCATAATGAGCCAAAAAAAAAAAAGTTTAAATTGGGCATTCATGAATTCTTCTTAGTTTATTGGACTCATGATTTGGACCCATTTACAATTTTCGTCCCATTACGATAAATACGAAAATTGTAAAACGATATTCAAAATTCAAAATCCGTCTTGAGAATGACACAGCAGAACGACAGTCACATGGCTTCTCTCTCTGATCTGAGGCTTTTCTTATTCAGATAAATGATCAAACATAATCTAAGGGATACTACTCTAATGGGAATCGAGAAGCACATCAGTTATTTCCTCCTTTCTATCCTTCTGCCGTTTGGACCCCTTGGACCTCCGACCTATGAGGTGATTGGTCACTCGGCCCCTCTCCCCTTCTCGGGTCCTATCAGAACTAGCTACGAGAAGCTATCTCGTTAGGGAGTTGAACCCACACAACAACGACCTCTGCCGTTTCAGGGTGTCCATTATATCTACCAGATAGCCTCATCTTTTCTCCCTCCCCGGAATCATCATCCTCAAAAGAGTACATCAGAATCCCAACTTTTTCCAGAATCTGCTTCTTCTATCATTCATAACTCACTTTTCCTCTCTCAAATATGAAAATCTTCAATACCCAGCGAAAATGAATTGTTTCAAAAGCTAGGAAGTTTTACAAGACTATCAAGACTGAACAAGGGAAACGTGAATGCCCGGACCACTAAATCCTTTCTCATTACATTTCTTCGTCTATGCATTATGTTCCTGTCTCTGCCTCTTCTTCCACTCTCTCGTTCGATAATCTCCCTGGCTCTATCATCATTTGTTACACCGTAACATAACCCTCCTCTGTCCTTCAGGATCATCTCCCATGTGGTTAGATTTTGAAAGTCTCTTCATGTGCTTGGTGCTTTCCCCTCCTCTCTTCTCTGTTTATTTTGTCCCTTAGAGTTAGAGATTATGAACACAATTACCTAAAAAAAACAATTGGTTCCCTTAAAAACTCAGTTCTTTGTATTCAGAAATCTAAAAAGTTATCTCAGGATCCAAACGAGGTAATGGACCAAATGACAGAGTGCTCAATATGCGAGGGAACAGCTTCTCTTTCAGAAAGCAAGCTCGCCGTTTCAATAACAGAGCATGGTGGAGAAATATCCAGCTTTTGTAAGTCATCTGGACCGATAATAATAACCTTTCTCAAGAAACTGACTTATCCAAATACAAATTCAGACTTTGGCGGCTCTCTGACTCGAATTGGATAGCATATCTTCTCTGTGAAATCTTGGCGTCGAGATTTGATATCATGTTTCTCTTATTGAACTGATTTTCCTGATTTTTCATCGACCTGTTTTGTATTTATGCAGGATCGTTCTGATACTTACGCTCTCGGTTCTTGTATATGTCGTGGCGGCCCTTGTTTGCCGGGGGCCAGCACTTCCTTCCTGCTTCAAATAAGGTTACACTCTCTTCTGCTGCAAGGATTCCTTTTCAGACACTCTGTTTGGATGGCTATGATGTGTGTTTGTTCTTTTGAAGTCTTAGAAGTGAATATGTCTGATGTTATGGTTTTTATATTTAAGGCGAAACTTTGTTTAATGATCATATGTGAAATTTTTCACGAGAATGTTCTTCATAACTTGCCAAAATTATGTATTTTGTTTTTTTTTCTCTGTCGAACCTATGGCTGGATGTAAATAATCGAACAATAATGATAGCTTGAGACGAAAATGGTGTGAATAAAGGATTTTGCTGATGGAGTTGGGTGATGTTTTGCTTATAAAGTAATCATGTTCTTATGACAGTACTTTTGCAAACATAAAGAGTTCCAAAAACATGGGAATTGGGAACATATGTGGAGGTCAAAGTCTGAGAAAGACTCGCAACAAAACAAGGAGAACCTAATAGAGTGATTTTTAATCTCGATTTTATTTGGTTAAGTTCGGTTTATTTTGGTACAATTTTCTGTTTTGATTTTGTAGTTTAAATACTCTGTTAGCGACATTTTTTACTTTTAATGAAAATTTCAGAAAGGTTTCACAAAATTCTCTCTCGATCCGTTTATTGCAAAATGGTATCAGAGCACAGGAAAATTTTTTCAGCTTGATTTCATCGTTGATTCTACATTTTCTGCTTTGATTTTTCTCGATATTGATTCTCAATGTCGACTGAATCTCATCAATCGATTCCACCGGAAGACAGTTCTTCAGTTCCGGCGACACCGTCGCTCCAAGATCCTTATCTGAATCCTCTGTATCTTCACGCAGCGGATTCTTCAAGTCTTATTCTGGTTTCCGAGAAGCTTCTCGGTGAATCGAACTACAATGTTTGGTCACGAGCCGTCATGAAGGCGCTCAACTGTAAGAACAAGCTCGGATTCATTCTAGGTACTGTTCCTCCGCCTAAATTGAATCATCCGGATTATGTTTTGTGGTCGTGATGCGATGACCTACTCAGCACTTGGATCTGTAATTCACTGGCTCCAGATATATACAATTTGGTTGTATATCTGGATTCAGCTGCTAAAGTTTGGAAGAAACTAGAAAAGAGCTATAAGCAGAATAATGTTTCGAAGATCTCTAATATTCAACAGAATATAGATTCTCTTCATCAAGGAAACATGAATATTGAAACATATTACACGAAGTTGAGCTTATTATGGGAAGAGTTGAAGAACCATGATCCGTTTCCTACATGTGGTTGTCGTGGTTGTACATGCGGTAGCTGTTCTTGTGATCTTGAGCAGCGTTGGATGGATTTTTATGATAGGCGAAATGTGGTTAGGTTTCTGATGCACTTGAATGATTCCTATCACCTTGCTCGCCGTCAGATTTTAATGCTTGATCATCTGCCAGATCTATCCAGGATATATAATATGTGTATGCAGGAAGAACAACAATGTTTAGGCCTGCAATTACCTCAAGAACACGCTGTGTTTCAAGCTAGTGTGAATCAGTCTAGACCTCGTCCTTCATTCCAGCCTTCTGGTTCTTCTGGTAGTCAGCGACCTCGCCCAGTCTGTACTCACTGTGGGTTGGTAGGCCACACAGTGAACAAATGTTACAAAATATATGGTTATCCACCAAATTTTCGTAACAATTCCAATCCGAATTCCAATCAGTGGAGTTCAAAGCCTGCATTAGCATCAAAACCACGACAACAATATTCTGATAATTCTGCAAATATGGTTCATATGGTGAAATCTCAATCTGATCCGGAGGAACACCCTATTGCAACACAGAAAGACATGTTTTCTGGAAGAAATGCCTTGGAGCAAGCTCAAGCTCTACTTGCACAACTTTCATCTCAATTTAAGAATAGTAGCTCTTCAGCCATGGATTCAGGTTTCACAGCTACTTCATCTCCAAATTCCCCAGGTATTTCTTCCCCTACATTTCCTATTTTATCCACATTTGAACCCAACCTTACTTTACCTGCAGTGGTCTGGATTATAGATACAGGTGCTAGTGTCCATGTATGTTATGATTCCACATTATTCTCTGATTTGAAAACCATATCTCCCATTACCATTACCTTACCCACTGGTTCAACCATTTCTGTGTCACAATCTGGTACTGTCAAAATTTCTTCTGTTTTGACACTATCAAATGTTCTCTTTATTCCCTCTTTTCGTTTTAACTTGCTGAGTGTGAGTGCTCTTACTAAAAATACTTCCATTTCTCTAACGTTTACAAATCATTCTTGCATTCTTCAAGACCTTACTCAGGCCTTGACGATTGGCAAGGGTAGATTACATCAGAATTTATATATCTTGGATATGCCCTGTTCTACTCTGTGTCCTTCTTCGTTTCAGCTTCCACTTTGTACTGCACTCACCTCGGCACCTCTTGATTTGTGGCATCAAAGACTTGGCCATCCCTCTTTTATCAAAATACAGTCTCTAGGAAAATCTTCACAGTTGTCTTTTACCCCTGTTTCTGATTCTTTTACTCATTGTAATGTTTGCCCCAAAGCAAAACAAAAGAAACTTGTATTTCCGATTTCTGGAAAATTATCTGATAAACCATTTGATCTAATACATTTGGATGTTTCGGAACCATTTCATGTTCCTACTTATCTTGGTCACAAATGCTTTTTGACTATTGTGGATGATTGCACAAGATTAGTTTGGATTTATTTGTTGTCTACAAAATCTGAAGTTGATGTCAAGTTTTCAGCATTTGTTGCTTTCATTGAAACACAGTTTGACACAAAAATAAAGGCTATAAGGACTGATAATGCCCCTGAGTTAAATTTTACAGAGTTTTTACAGTAGAAGGGCATTTATCATTTTCGTTCTTGTCCTTATACGCCTCAACAAAATTCAGTTGTTGAGAGAAAAAATCAACACATACTCACTGTTGCAAGATCTTTGTTATTTCAATCTAATGTTCCTTTGCAATATTGGGTTGATTGTGTACTTGCTGCAGTGTATTTGATCAATAGAACTCTAACACCATTACTTGATTTCAAAACACCTTTTGTGGTTTTAACAAAGAAGAAACCTGAATATTCTCATTTAAAAGTTTTTGGTTGTCTTTGTTATGTTACTACTCAAGAAATGGGTAGACATAAGTTTTCTCCTCGAGCACAATCTGGTGTGTTTTTTGGTTATCTTTCTGGGACAAAAGGTTACAAAATTTTGATTTTAGATAATCAGAAAATAGTGGTTTCAAGACATGTGGTTTTTCATGAGACTGTGTTTCCCTTTCACTCGAGTATTTCTTCTCCAGTTTCTAATCCTTTTTCTCAGTCTTTATCTCCTCATTTCTTATTTGATTCTGATAATTCTTCACAAGTCTTATTCCCTAATTCTTGTCGTGTAACTTCTCGGATAGATTCTATTTTTCGATCAGAATCATTATCTTCATCCACATCTACACCTCATTCCCCTCCTTTATCAACTTCAGAGAATAATGTGCGACCACAACGTCTTGTGAAACAACCTGTCTATCTTCAGGACTATCACTGTTACCTTCTTTCCTATCATGATCCACCTCCACAATTACCCAAAACTCCTTATCCTTTATCCTGTTTCTTGTCCTATGACAAGATTCACCCCACTTATAAAGCCTTTACCTGTTCCATATCTTCCATTCCTAAACCTAAAACATATAACCAAGCTGTGAAATCTGATGAGTGGAAGAAAGCTATGATTCTGGAATTAGAGGCTCTTGATCGGACAAAGACTTGGTCTGTGTGTGAGTTACCTATTGGTAAGCATCCCATAGGCTGTAAATGGGTGTTTAAGACCAAGTTCAACCCTGATGGCACAGTAGAACACTATAAGGCCAGATTAGTTGCTAAAGGCTATACACAATTGGAGGGAATTGATTATTTGGAGACCTTTAGTCCCATGGCGAAGATGACAACTGTTAGATTGTTGCTGGCTGTAGCTGCTGCTGAGAAATGGTTTTTACATCAGTTAGATGTGTCTAATACATTTCTGAATGGTGATTTAGATGAGGAAATATACATGCTATTACCACAAGGATATGCATCACTTAAGGGGGAGGACATTCCTTCAAACCATGTCTGTAAGTTACAGAAATCACTATATGATTTGAAGCAAGCTAGTAGACAATGGAATCTGAAGCTCGCAGAGGTCTTAATGTCTGCTGGTTATGTTCAATTAACTGCTGATACATCCTTGTTTGTGCGAAGACAGGATACTTTCATTGTTGCCATCTTGGTTTATGTGGATGACATCCTTGTTGCTGGTAACAATGCTGATATGATTTCTGCAGTAAAGGATGTTCTTGAGCTGTCTTTCAGATTAAAGATCTTGGTGACTTGAAGTTCTTTCTCGGGCTTGAAGTTGCACGTTCTACGAAAGGTATTTCTGTTTGCCAACGCAAATATACCTTAGAATTGCTTGAAGATTACGGAATGTTGGGTTGTAAGCCTGCTACAACTCCAATGGACTTTAGGCAGAAGCTCACTGTTGATTCTGGTGAGTTGTTGGCAGATCCTCTGGTTTATAGAAAGCTGATTGGCAAATTGATATATTTGGCAATCACTAGGCCTGATATAAGTTTCGCAGTAACTAAGCTTAGTCAGTACATGTCATGTCCAAGAACTGATCATTTACAGGCTGCACATCGTGTTCTGCGTTACTTGAAAGGTTGTCCTGCCCAAGGACTTTTGTATTCTGCACATATTAAACGTCACTTAAGTGCATACTCAGATGCAGATTGGGCGTCGTGTGCAGATTATCGTCGCTCGGTAACTTGATTTTTTGTATTTCTCGACAGTTCTTTGATTTCTTGGAAGTCAAAGAAGCAGGTTACTATTTCTCGGAGTAGTGCCGAGTCTGAGTACCGAGCTATGGCGCAAACAACCTGTGAGTTGTTTTGGATCTCTTCAGTTCTATCTGAGTTGAATTTTCAGTTTCCTCGACCTGTTACATTGTTCTGCGATAGTATGTTTGCCATACACATTGCAAACAATGCTGTTTTCTATGAACGTACGAAACATATAGAGCTCGATTGTCATTTCGTTCGGGAGCAGCTCAAGTCGGGGTTTCTGAAGCCGTTACATGTTCCGAGTAAGGAGCAGGTTGCTGATGCACTCACCAAACCTTTGTATGTGGAGCATTTTCGATACTTACTTGACAAGATGGGTCTTCATTCACTCTTTGTTCCTGAAACTCCATCTTGAGGGGAGTAATAGAGTGGTTTTTAATCTCGGTTTTATTTGGTTAAGTTCAGTTTGTTTTGGTACAATTTTCTGTTTTCATTTTGTAATTTAAATACTCTGTTAGCGGCATTTTTTACTTTTAATGAAAATTTCAGAAAGATTTCACAAAATTCTCTCTCGATCCGTTTATTGCAAAAGAACCTTGTTTTCCACGTCCTTCTTGCACACGTTTTTTTAACTAATTAATTAATTAATTTTGAATTTATATTTTGTCTATAAACTAAACAAATGGTCGTTATCGGTTTTGTTTTTATGAAAGCAAAAAAAGATTTTTTTTCTCAAAGAATTCCTCGCACGTTTTCGCACACTAAGCTCTGTGGCTTGGTGAACGCATCTACGGTCCCCCGTATGCTCTTTCTTCGTGTCTACTTTTGAATTCATGCGTACAAAATATGTGCGTATGTACGTACGTATGTATACACATCATATGTTTCTCTCTTCTTCTTTTTTATTTTTTTTTAAAAAAATCTTGTTTGTTTTGTCGTATGTATATTTTTGTAGATGTATGTGTTGGAAGTTTTTATTAACTTCCCATTATGTTAATGGTCTAACATTTCCTCCATATTGTGTTAACTGCATGATAACCACCCCAATAGCAGTTTTCTGATGGAGAAAAAACAATAAATAGGGGTAACGTATTTGGTCCCTAAGACAAGCAAAACAGATAGAAATACACCATCATTGTATTGCTAAAGGTTTAGAAGCACCAAATATTCAGATTTCAACTCAACCATTTTCAATGGCTGGAGGTATGTTTTTCCGATTCAGAATTTATTTCCGTATACATGATCTGATGTATTAAAATTTTTTACATAGAAGATCATGATTTAAGATGAGTTTAAAGTATTTTTTAAACTTACATTTGGTATCAGAGCTTCAGTATCCTCTGCCTTGAAAAGTGATGTCGTTCATGAATTTCTGTATTCCATTTTGTTAATTTACATGAATCTGAAATGATTATTGGAAGAATTTCTTTATTCTTTTAGATACACAAATTTAGGATTATTCGATGCATTCATAATTTTGACATCGAAATTTAGAGATTTGTGAATATTGTATTCAATCTATGAAAATAACTCATTAAAATGAGGAATAGAATACCTTGATGCATAATCTATGCTAGATCAGGAAACCGTCGTCATATGTTTGGCTTTGTTTCTTGTGTGTCTTCTGTTTTGCACTATATTCTCTGTCGTTTTGGCTCTTCTTTCATTATGAAGCCAACCGACTCTTGATCCTTACTCTTCTGGAGAGTTTGGTGGGCATTGTCGATTTGGTAAATGCAGTGATTCAGAAGCCGTTATGATGCCTCTACTCCCGGATTAGCTCTGCGACGACATGTTTGAAGGCAACTTCGGTGGTGGTTGTCGGTTATGAACCATCACCGGAGGAAGTATGTCGTCGTCGGAAGAAAAAAAAAAGGGACAGAGGAGAACGGCGCCTGTAGAAAGGAAAATAGCCAAAGAATAACATGCGCGCGATGAGAACTTTTAGGTTTTCTGATTTATTTTCTGGAAATGGGCCTTGTTTACTTTGGGCCACCAATACACTTATTTACGTGGTTGCAAACAAAAAATTCAAACGCAAGGTTTGAACACATGACCTTGTACATTTTGGTAAGGAAGGTTCAGCCACTAGGCTAAGGTTGTCTTTCTATACAGATCTGTATTTATATTTACAAATATCTAGTGGTTCGTATAATTTATTCAAATTAGAGAAAAGCCACAGCATCTCTAATTAGAATAAAATTATCAATAATTTTATTATTGGATCACATTTAGTTACAGATATTGATTGTAATTAATCACATTGATATAATAAAATTTATCCCACAGGAAGTTTTATTATATTTATGTAATTAATTAGGGTGGAAAATCGATTATGTTTCTTAATTTGCCCACAGGGATTGAGAAATGAATATAATCCGATGGTTTCATCGTTAAGATAAATGAATCTATTTGAATTAAAAACTTAGCCCACAGGCAGTTTTTATGTCATATGATTCATATTGTTGATGTTTTTACATTGGTAAAACGTCACATAAAGTTGCCTTAATTTTATTAACATAAGCATATATATTGATTTCTTTTGTGGAGTTTTTCAACCTGTGAATGTCTCTGACATGAAATGCGATATTCCCGAGCTCAAAGGGGATAACTATAAGGTGTGGAAGGAAAGAATCCTGCTTCATTTGGGGTGGATGGACATTGACTATGCTATTCAGAAAGACGAACCGCCTCCGATTACTGAGGAGAGTGAGCCTGAGGAGATTGAACTTTATGAAAGGTAGGAGCGATCTAATCGCCTCAGCGTTATGTTCATAAAGACAAACATCTCATCTGGCATTCGGGGTTCGATCGAGCAGTATGACAATGTCCGTATGCTGCTGAAGGCTATTGATGAACAATTTGAGTCTTCAGATAAGGCATTGGCGAGCACCCTGATTATGAAGTTTTCCACTTTGAGGCTCACCAGTACCAAAGGAGTGCGTGAACACATCATGCAAATGAGGGATTTAGCGGCTCAACTCAAAACACTTGAGGTTACCATGTCTGACTCTTTCCTTGTGCATTACATTTTGAACTCTTTGTCGCATCAATACGGACCCTTCAAGATCTCTTACAACACACATAAGGATAAATGGTCGATCAACGAACTGTTGAACATGTGTGTTCAAGAGGAAGGGCGATTGCTTATGGAAGGTGGAGAGAGTGTGCATTTGGCAACTCAAGGAAAAGTGAAATACCAAGCCAAAAAGAAAGGGAAAGAAAAATTGACTTCTCAAGGAAACATCAAGAAGGAATCCAAGTGTTTCTTCTGTAAGAAGAAGGGACACATGAAGAAGGATTGCCAGAGATTCCAAGAGTGGTTTGTTAAGAAAGGTAACTCACTTACACTCGTTTGTTATGAATCTAATATGATCGATGTTGGTCACAACAGATGGTGGATTGATTCTGGTTCTACAATCCATGTTACGAATTCTCTACAGGGTTTGCAAAACCTAAGGAAGCCAGTGGGAAGTGAGCAATGCATCTATTCGGGAAACAAGATGCGCTCACATGTGGAGGCTGTTGGAACATGTTATCTAGTTTTAAGTAATGGTTATGTACTTATGTTGGAAAAGACCTTTTATGTTCCTGGTTTTTCTAGGAATTTAATTTCTGTTTCAAGACTTGTACCATTTGGTTATTCCTTCAACTTTTCAGACTATGGTTTCGATCTTATCTATAAATCTGATATTGTTGGGAATGGTACATTGTCTGATGGTCTTTTTCGACTTAATGTGCAAAATGATAACGTTTATGCTACGATGCATGATCATGCTGGTATTAAAATATGTGTTGTGAATGAAGAATCCTCTATGTTATGGCATCAGAGATTGGGACACATCTCCATTGAGAGGGTTAAGAGATTGGTAAAAGATGGGGTACTTAGTACTCTAGATTTTTCTGATTTCGAAACTTTTGTGGACTGCATAAAGGGAAAGCAGACTAACACATCAAAGAAAGGTGTAAAGAGGAGTTCAGATCTATTAGAGATCATACATACGGATATATGTTGTCCAGACATGGATGCATATCGACAGAAATATTTCATCACTTTCATAGATGATTACTCGCGATACATGTATCTCTACATTCTTGATAACAAGAGTGAAGCACTAGATGCTTTTAAACTCTATAAGGCAGAAGTAGAGAAACAATGCGGTAAGCAAATAAAGATCGTGAGATCAGACAGAGGTGGTGAATATTACGGTAGATACACTGAAAATGGACAAGCACCCGGTCCTTTTGCGAAGTTTCTTGCTGAACATGGGATTGTTGCCCAATATACCACACCTGGTTCTCCGAGCCAGAATGGTGTAGCAGAAAGGAGAAATCGAACATTATTGGACATGGTGCGGAGTATGTTATCATACTCAAAACTTCCTAAGTCCTTGTGGAATGAAGCTCTTAAAACGGCGGTGTACATATTAAACCGAGTTCCAACCAAGGCTGTCTCAAAGACACCTTTCGAGTTGTTTAAAGGTTGAAAACCGAGTTTGCGACATGTATGCGTTTGGGGATGTCCGTCTGAAGTAAGAGTTTATAACCCACAAGAGAAGAAGTTAGACCCAAGGACCATTAGTGGGTATTTCATTGGATATGCCGAAAAGTCTAAGGGATACAGATTTTATTGTCCATCTCACGTTACACGGATTGTGGAGTCAAGAAATGCAAAATTTCTTGAGAATGACTTGGTTAGTGGGAGTGACAGATCATTAGGAGAAAGGTCTGAGAGTGATCACTCTATTTCACAACCTTCTACTTCAAGTCACCTTCGAACTGTTGTCGTTCGTCGCACTTATCCAGCTCCCGTGCGTGTTGAACAACCAGTTCCCGAACCTCCACAAGCTAATGATCCGTTAGATCATGTTCAACAAATGCCTGAAATTGTTGAACCAGTTGTACAACATGATCCTCAGGAAAATGTTGATACAACATTGAGACGATCTAGTAGAGTACCGTGCGTGTTGAACAACCAGTTCCCGAACCTCCACAAGCTAATGATCCGTTAGATCATGTTCAACAAATGCCTGAAATTGTTGAACCAGTTGTACAACATGATCCTCAGGAAAATGTTGATACAACATTGAGACGATCTAGTAGAGTACGGAAATCAACAATTCCGGATGACTATATGGTGTATCTACAAGAGTGTGAGTATAATGTTGGAGCCGAAAATGATCTTGAAACGTTTTCACAAGCCATGAGTTGTAAGGAATCTGACTTATGGTATAGTGCCATGAAAGATGAGATGGATTCAATGGCATCGAATGAAGTCTGGGATCTTGTCGAGTTGCCTAATGGTGTAAAAGCCATTGGTTGTAAATGGGTCTTCAAAACCAAGAAAGACTCATTGGGCAACATCGAAAGATATAAAGCAAGACTCGTAGCCAAAGGATTCACTCAGAAAGAAGGAATCGATTATAAGGAGACTTTTTCTCCTGTATCAAAGAAAGATTCTTTTCGTGTGATCATGGCATTAGTTGCCCATTTTGATATGGATTTACATCAAATGGATGTGAAAACGGCGTTCCTCAATGGTGAACTGGAGGAAGAGGTTTACATGAAACAACCTGAAGGATT